GGTCAAACTGTCCCTCGGGGACCGTCCAGGAGAGGCTCAGGGAGTCCGGGGTGGCGTCGGTCACGGTCAGCTCCCCCAGGTGTGGCTTTGGGGGAGGCTCGGAGGTGGTGGGGGGCTCACTGGGCTCCTCCTCCTCCTGTTGCCCTGAGCAGAGAGAGAAGGGCTTCAGGGGCGGCTGTGTCCGTGGGACCTGCCATCCTCTGGACCTTCCCAGCCACCTGGCCCGAAGCAGGGTGGCCCAGGTTCTCTCACTCACGAGTCAGGGCCTCAACGTGGACAGGACCCACACGCCGCCCGTCATGGAAACCGTACAGCGTCATCAGGTATCTGTGTTCTGACTCTAGGTCAGGGAGGGTGACGTCCTGCTGGTGGCCATCTACGCTGACCACGTGGGTTGTCCCATCTCTGCCTGTGTAATGGACCTCAAAGGCATCAAGTTCTCCCTCTGCCACCTCCCAGGAAAGACGCAGGCTGTGTGGCGTGGCCTCCTCCACCGTCAGCTCCCCCAGGCGAGGCTCGGCGGCTACAGGGCTGGGGGCCTCCGGCTCGGCTTCAGTGTCCTCTCTGGGTGCTGCTCCGAGAGACAGGAAGGGACAGTGACCGCTCTGCGGCTCAACCAGTGCTGGGGGCAGGGACACGTTGAAGCACTGTGCAGAGTTAAGGGTCCACGCTCCAAACACCGTGTGTCCTGCGACTGTGTTACATGAGGTGCAGAAAAGGCAAAGCCACAATGCTGCAAAGCAGCCAGGCGGTTGAGGGGCTGCGGTTGGGGAACTGAGTGCAGAGGAGCACAGGGAGCCTCTGTGGGTCCCCGGCAGTGGGTTTTGTCCCCCTTGAGGCAGCTGTGCTTTCCTCGCAAGTTTCCCCACACTCAGGGGTGCTGGGAGTCGATTATGCCTCAGCCAAGTGTGTCCCCTCCCCAAAGGACGCCGAGACCGTGGAGAGCCAGGCAAGAAGGGGCCCGGTGTCCTGGCCACGGTGGCACTCACCAGTGGTGGCGACGGCCGAGAGGGGACCCATGCGCTTGCCGCGGAGCAGTCCGTAGAGCAGCAGCTTGTACCTGCGCGCGGGGTCCAGGCCCGAGACGCTGGCCTCCCTGAGGCCGCCGTCCACAGGGACCACTTGGGGCTTCCCAGCGCTGTCCTTGTACTGGACCACGAAGGAGTCAAACTGGCCCTGGAGGACCGTCCACGCGAGGCCCACAGAGTCTGCAGCCACTCCAGTCACCAGCAGCTCCTGCCCGAGCTGGGGTTTGGGGGGACGCTGTGCCCTCGGCGGGTCCGTGGATCTCAGGGTCTCTGGGATGGGGACAGGGGAGAGAAGGCTGGGTGCTTCTGGGGCGCTGTGGACCGCAGGGCGGGGTGGGAGGTGTGGACCAGGGCTTTGCGGCCCTCACCTGTGGCACCATCGGCTGCCAGGGGCCCGAAGCGCTGGCGGCCCAGGAGGCCGTAGAGGAGGAATCTGTACTTGCGGCCAGCGTCCAGAGGGGACACCGTGACGGAGCGCGCGTGGCCCTCCACGGGCACCAGCTGGGGTCCGTCCTTGCTTTTGAACTGGACCACAAAGGAGTCGAAGTGGCCCTCGGGGACCGTCCAGGAGAGGCGCAGCGAGTCCAGGGAGGGGTCCGTCACCCACAGCTCCCCAAGGCGGGGCAGGGCCGCTGGGCTGGCCTCACCTCGGATGGCTGACAGGGAGGAAAGGCTCCTCTGTTTATTTTGCCCAAAATGCTTTTTTTTTAAAACTGTCTCCTGCTAGGATGGGAGAAAACCAGAAATACCCAGTGGACATTCCCCAAATGTCCCCCACCCTCCCCCAACCCCCTTCTCTTCCCGCCTCTCAGAGGCCCTGGGCACAGTTTGTCAGGGACAGGTCCCCTCCATTTTCTGGGCCTGGAACCCGCACTGTGTGACCCTGGGCTCCAGAGGACACGGGAGGGCACCAGCTCTCTGAGGGGTTGACGGCAGGTGGGGAGCGGGCCTCTGCACCGCTGGGTGGGAGCTGAGCCTCCCCAGGCCCGTCTGGCAGAGGAGCAACCCAGGCCTGGGAAGCAGCTGGCCGGCTGCCTTCCTGGACAGCGAGGAGCTGACAGCACTGTTATTGCGAGAGGTTTCTGGCAACTGGGAGCCCCCGGGGCGGGGGAGGACCTGGGCTGAGCCCCAAAGCCCCAAAAGCGGGTACAGCTAGACTCCTGAGGCTCCCTGAGGACAAAGGAGAGTCACAGGGCAGATGCAGGTCAGAGCGGAGGGAGTTCAGGGGAGAGGCGCCCACAAGCCCAGGGAGGCAGGAGCTCCTCAGCCTCCTTCACTCTGGCCCAGCAGCCCATCTCCAGCCGTCTATCCTCCTTGCCCAACAGTAGAAATGAGAAGACAGGAGGCCAGCCAGGAAATGTCCTCGTCCCGGTCTCCCTTGAAACAGGGCAGGCAGTGTGGCTTTTCTTTGCCGGTACTAGGGATTGAACCCAGCCAGGATCTTTGCACTGAGCTATATCCCCAGCCTTTTACAATTCTGTATTTTGGGAGAAGTTCTCCCTAAGTTGTCAAGTTGCCCGGGCTGAGCTTGAATTTGCAATCCTCCTGCCTCAGCCTCCCAGAATGCTTACAAAAGAGTGGGTCCACTGTTCCCCGCAACACTATGGCTTCTCAAACCAAGCAGATGAAGGGACAGGAATAAGAGAGAGAAGGCTGGGCCTCAGCTCACCTGTCTTCGCCTCCACAGAGACTGGGGTGCGTCGTTTCCCGTCCTGAATCCCAAACAGCAGGAACTTGTACTTGCGGGAGGACTCTAGGCCGGGGACGATGACCTCGCGCTGGTCTGCAGTCACCGGCACCAACTGGGGCTGCCCGTCCCTGTCCTTGTACTGGACCACGAAGGAGTCAAACTCGCCCTCGGGGACCGTCCACAGGAGGCCCACGGAGTCAGGGGTCACGTCTGTCACCGTCAGCTCCCCCAGGCGGGGCTGCAGCGGGGGCTCAGTGACTGGGGCTGGCGGGAGCGCATCTGGGACCCAGAAGACAAAGGACAGGGCTGAGGCTCTGAGGGAAGCCTGGGCGAGCGGTTGCATCTTTATTCACAGCCTCGGTGGCTCAGCACTCCCTTCGGGGAGTGGCAGAGAAGTCAGCCACAGAGGACTTGGTGGCTTTGGGACTGCTTCAGAAGTGGGGATGGTTCCACACTGCCCTCGAGTTGCCTCAGAAATTTCATGACACCTTTTACGCTGATCTCTACTCCTAAAAGTGGTAGCTTTTTTTTTTTTTTTTTTTTT